TGGTGTGTCTTATCTCTTGCAGCAATCTTGTTTGATAGTAGATTTATCTGGGAAAGTTTCCATTGCCCTAAAATATTGGGTGCTGTGAAGATCTCTAATTTTTACACAAAATGAGTTTTAATTGCTCACTATTTTGTTCACTTGTACATAGTTTTATTAGTTAATGACAGTCACAGTTCTTCATTGTTGTAATTGCACCAATTGGAAATTAGGTGCAGTAAAGTTAATAGCACCTTAAGATTTTTATCCCACCAAGAACATTGATCTTGTATAAGATAGTATTTTCTGCTGAATGTGCCAGGAGTAAATAGTAATGCTTTCTTTTCAAAATATGTAAAACCACTTTCATTTATCACATGCATGGTAAGTGACTGAGAGAATGTTTAGTATAGCCAGGTGTCAGGGAGCACTCCTGTAATTCCTTTGACTTTGGGAGACAGGGGCAAGAGGATCATAAGTTCAAGTCCAGCCTTAGCTACTTTGGTGAGGCCTCAGCAATTTAGCAAGATTCTTTCTAAAAACAAAAAATAGAATGGATTATGGATTTAACTTGTTGGTAAAACATCCCTGGGTTCAATCCCCAGCCACTCCCTGCCACCACCACTTTGTAAGCAAACAAAGATAGGTGAAGCACTTTTTTTCATGTAAATCTGAACAATAACACAATTGTTTAAATTTTAGTTTCAAAATTATATAGAGGATTTGGTTTGGAGATGCTGGTGTTTTCACCCTACCTGTTATTTTTTCTTTGGGATTAAACCCAGGGATGCTCTACTACTGAATTACATTTCCAGTCTTCTTTATTTTTTCTTTTGAGACTAGGTCTCTCTAGGTTGCTGAGGCTGGCTTTGAATTTGAGCTCCTGCCTCAGCCTTGATGGTTGCTGGCATTACAGATGTGCACCACCTCATGGGACCAGACTTCTTTTAAAAACAGAAGGGGGAAAAAAGGAAAGAAAGGAAGGAAGGTAGGAAGAAAAGAAAAGAAAATGATTATTATACAAACCAGACTAGTAATAAGAAGCAAAATTTTTAGGACTGGTATGTGGTTAAGTGATAGAGCATTTGCAGGCCCTGGATTCAATCGCCAACACTCCTGTCCCTTTAAAAAAAAAAAAAAAGGAACTTCTTTAACCAACAGGAGACAGGACTTCTGCAGAGAAGGGAGTGGATACTGGTAGACCTGGCTCCTTGGAGGGATATAGGAATACAGTAGCCTTAGAGGGAAACCAGGGAATAGCTGTACTAAGGCTTTGCTTAACCCAGTCACCCAGGATGGTTCTCTATTGTCAGTCTTTCAGGTTTTTATGTGTCACAAGAAGTGAAACCAAACTAATTTGAAAAAGTCTCTGATAGGAGGTGGGTGTGGTAACCCACACCAGTAATCACAGTGACTTTGGAGGTTAAGGCAGGAGAATCACAAGTTCAAAGCCTTTGTTAGCAATTTAGCAAGATCTTGTTTCAAAATAAAAAGGGCTGGGAATGTGGTTCAGTGGATAAGTGCCCCTGGATTCAAACCCGGGTACCAAGAAAAAAAAAGGAACAGGAAAAAAAAAAGTCTCTGATAGGGGTTAGCATCATGGCACATGACTATAATACAAGCTACTGGGGTGGCTGCAGAAGGAGAATTACAGATTTGAAGCCAGCCGGGCAGTTTAGCATGATCCTGTGTCAAAATAATAAAAATAAATAAGTAAAAAGAGCTGGACATGTACTCAGTAATAGAGCACTTGGCTGGCATTCAGGGGGCCTGGAATTTAATTCCCACTGGGGGAAAAATATCAAATCTCTGATAAAAATTTCTTCTTCTTTCTTCTTCTTCCTTCTTCTCCTTCTCCTTCTCCTCCTCCTCCTCCTCCTCCTCCTTCTCCTCCTTCTTCTTCATTATTATTATTATTTATTAAATATTTTATAAAAATATGTAAATTTTATATTACATATATTTTATTTATTTTTCATTACTGGGGATTGTACCCATGGGTGCACTGCCACTGAGTTACATCCCCAGCCCTTTTTGTTTTTGAGACAGGGTCTCCTTGGGTTGCTGAGGCTGGCCTTGAACTTGTGATCCTCTTGCCTAAGCCTCCCAAGTCACTGAGATTAATAGGCATGTGCCATGATGCTCAGTTTACATATATTTTACAATAAAAAAAAAAAAAGCCTGAAAAAAAAAAAGAAAACAGATTAAGCTAACATCTATTTTTAAAACCTTTTAAAAAAATTTAGGGAAAGGGGCAGCTAGGGTTGTGGCACAGTTGTAGAGCACTTGCCTAGCATTTGTGAGGCATTGGGTTCCATTCTCAGCACCACATATCAAAAAAATAAAGGTTCATTGACAACTAAGAAATATTTAGAAAAAAATTTTTTTTTGGCACTGGTGATTGGACTCAGGGCATTCAACCACTGAGCCACATCCCCAGCCCTATTTTGTATTTTATTAGAGCCGGACATGCACAGGGTCTCACTGAATTACTTAGCACCTGGCTTTTGCTGTGGCTGGCTTTGAACTTGGAATCCTCCTGCCTCAGCCTCCTGAGCCGCAGGAATTACAGGCATGTGCCACTGCACCAGACTCTAAACCTGTTTTCAAAAGCATGGTGTATTTGAAAGCTTAGTGTATTTGATCCTGTTTTATGGCTGCTTCATGCTTCATTCCTCATAGAGAAGTTCTTGGAGATAGTATGGGCTTGGTAAGTTTGTACTGGTGGATGTGGTTAAGTCAGAATCCACTGGTGTTGATACAAGTGTTTAAGGAACACCTGAGAACACCACACCCAGTAGGTTTTTCCCCTTACATGAACTGATTAAAAATTTTGAGGGGGGCTGGGGATGTGGCTCAAGCAGTAGTGTGCTCACCTGGCATGTGCGGGGCACTGTGTTCGATCCTCAGCACCACATACAAATAAAGATGTTGTGTCCACCAAAAACTAAATATATATATATAAATAAATAAAATAAAAATATTGAGGGTGGGTGGTAGAGAGAGCTAGTTTAAAAGTGCAATAATGGCTGGGGATATAGCTCAGTGGTAGAGCATGCATGTCACACTGAGTTCAAACCCAGCTCCAAAAGAGTAAGTGCGAAAACAAGGCAGGTTGGACTTCACAATTCAACAAGCAAAGCGTGCTTTCGTGGCAAACTGAAAGGCGAGGAACCAAGGGTTATGAAACGCAGGCTTTCCGGCCCTCACTCTGTTCCCAATTTTTGGTTGTGGGAATCTGTTCTGAATCCAACTGCAAGTGGAAAACCCTTCTTTGGCTCAGCAGCCAGGCAAGCCATCCTGCCAATCCTCCAAATGGGCTGCTGAAAATTTGGCTCTGCGAGGCTGGAACTGGGGCTATCTTCCCAAGATCTGTGCAGCTGTCAAGGTGGCTGTGACGTGATTGTGACTGGTCTCTGCACTGCTTTTTGGCAGTGACCTTGAGACCAGCTAGCTCACCACTGCTGCTCCAGTTCTTTGCTGATTTGGTCCTTTGCTTTCACTGTTGTAACACCAGGGGGCTGATGGGAGGGAGAATTATCTGTTCTTGCCTTTCCCAGTGTCTGGCAGGTGTCAACTATGGTATCAGCTCTCTGTGCCTACCACCTACTGGGCAGTCCCATATGAGGGGTTCTTGTGAATGTGGGTGGTTTGTTCCATCCCTGGCTCAGGTACCTCTCCTAGTCCCTGGGAAGCCAGTTGCTGTGTCTGACCAGTAAGCTGGTGTGCAGGCAGGCTTGTCAGTTTTGCAGAGAAATGCTCAGTGACAGCTGATGATCTTGGGAGAGAAAGGAGCCAAAAGTGCCCTTTTGTCCTACAAGTACAAGTCAGAATCTGCCTTCTGGTTAATCAGGGATTTCTTTGTAATTGACAGTCATCAGAAATGTCCATAGCAAGAGAGAGAAATCTTTTCTCTCTAGACAGTGGCAAGTGTATTTTTAAAACGCCACCCCTTCTCCTTGTCTTCATCTTGTTCTTTTCCTTTTAAGTGGCTTTATTGTTGTTTTTTAATCTGCCTTTGTCATTGGACATTTATTGACAGAAATCAAATTGCTGTGTTTCTGGGCAGAGCGCCTGCTGCAAAGAGGTGTGGTTCCAAGGAATGAGACACGCAGCCCAACAGCTGAGCCTACACTGTCCTCACATAACCTCCCTGCCTTAAATATCGCCAATATTTCGCCTTGCCTTATAAAGTAAAAATGCACAATACCTTCCAGAGTTTCAGCAAGCCCAAATGCCCCCCTAGGCTTAGTTATGTCTCCTGTATGTTGGAGGGCGAACTGCACACCCCTCCCCCACGGAGACCTACCCTCGGAGCCACCAAGAGGTTACTAATCAGGGAGACTCCACCATCGATCCAATGGTGGCGACCTGGGGGATTTGTGTGCATTGTTTTTGCTGAAGCCTCCTGTGATTTCGGCACGACCAGATCCTCTGCAGAGAACTCCATGTCGCAGCTTGTGGCTGCCTGTGTCCTGTGGTGAGAGCTGAGCCGCACAGGAGATCCTTTGTCTAGGAAGGGCTAGGCTGAGAAGATCACTTTGGAGTTGCTAAGCTCTGCATTGCCATTGGCTGCACTCTTTGTGGGGCTGTTTTTGCAAAAGGCATGCCCAGCACGTCTACAGTGCTGGCAGGCCAGGGCTGCCTTTAAACACCATGATAATAATACCAAAAGCAGTTTGCAGAACTGTTCCACTGTAGAGGCTTCCTCTGCAGAAGCAAGCAAGATGGCTACCTCGTGGGCTTCGCTGTGAAGAATGCAGAGGCTAATTAAGACAGACTTTAAGGGGAAAAAAGGGTATTTCCCTACATCATCTTAATAGAAAAAAAATTTTTTTAGTGACTTTAAAGTATACATTTTACATAAGATTTTTAGGTTCTGCCTAGCAAACATGATGATGATTTTTAAATGGTATAAGTAGTTTTACAGAGAAGTAGTCAAAAAATTGGGGGGGGGGAGTGGGAGCTAATTTTTTTTTCTCGATGGAGGCTCATTTTCCAATTTGATTTTTTTTTTTTAGGTTATAAAAGAAAACAAGAGGCCCCAGAGGGAAAAGAAGCCCAAAGTTTTAAAGGTAATCAGCTGTTGATTAAATAATATTTATTTTTTTTCCATTTCATATAGTTTTTTTTTTCTGTCACCTGAGGGTAAATATGGAATACAGTGGGTGTGTATTCTCTCAGATTTTTAGTAGATTAATGAATTTTCGCTCAAGTTTTTTTCTTTTTTTTTTTCTGATGTACTGCATAATGTGCATATTAGCACCCTTTATTTTCAACTCCCACAAGTCTGCAGAAGGAAAAGTTTATATGCAAAGTCTTGTGAATAAAATTCATTTTTCTTTATATCTCCCTTTGTAACATCTGCATTTGTGTTGTTGCACAGTGTGTGTACTTAAGCTGGTGTGTGTACTTAAGCTTTTTAGGAGAAAGGTACTATTTGAAGTTGACAGCTAAGATCCATTGTGATTTTAATAGACCATCCATTAAAGACTATTTTAAAATGTGTGATTATTTTCCCAAAGAGAAAAGGTCCTTGGAGATTTTAGTTCAACTTAAAATGTGTAAGTCTTGAGATCTTACAGCCAGATTATAATTGCTTAATATAATTCTTATTATATCGTCTTTAATTTTGGCATTCATAGAGCTTATAGGAATAAGAATGTTTTCTTTATATTCTATAGATTGACTGGTGAGTATTTAACAGTAACCTAATTTGGTTATAAGCTAACAATCCATGTTATAAGCTTTGTACAGTATTTAGAAGGGTTAATTTAAAAGCATATGGCATCACTAAAAGTTCAAGGCTAGCATTAGTCTTGCAAATAGGTGCTTATATGCTTAAGCTTTCAAGTGGCATATTGCTACTCTAAATTTTAGCAACATTTTTATTTCAAGAAGAAATAGCAAGCAATAAAAAAATTGGTTTGTAAAAATCACATTGTATATATTTAATTTAAAATATTTTACCTAATTGTAACTTCTCTTTTGCAAATAAAGTTTTAGCCTCAAAGAGGAACAACATCTTGAACCATGACTATGGCAGAATTTTATCTTGTTTGTCCCCCTAGTTGTGTGAGTTGAAAGTGTTCACATTAGAACCAAACCTTGTGTTGATTTCTAATTTGGCTGACCACCTTGAGTTTCTGTTTCCTGTGTATACACAGTGTTGGCATGTACATTTTTCATCAACCAACAAGTATTTATTTCATATTTACCACACAGCAATGTGCGAGACACTGTGAAATGAATGAAATGCTTGCTACGAATTCTCTTGGGGCCTGGACAAAATGAATAGTGGTTATTTTCAAGACAAATTTAACCACTTTTTGTTTTTCTGCTTCATATTGATTCATCTGCCTCCTTTCACGCCCTTCCCTTCTCTCATCTGTGGAGTCCTTCTTAGATCTCTTTTATACTATCTCAAGCATTAAGTTTCAGTTTTAGAAAAAAAAAGAGTCTACATGTAGAAACAAATAGACAGTAAATCTTTTCCCACCTTTGCTAGGAAACGGAATTGGGCTTTGGGAGTGCTATTTATTTCTGTTTATTATGTTAATCTGTGAGCGTCCTGTCACTTGAAATAAATTTGAGAAGTAAATATACCATGTGTTGCTTTTGGGAATCGTGGATTCTTTTAAATTTATTTTTATTTTTAAGTACCTGTGAGTGGCCGTATGTCATCTGTCCTAGCAAGCAGAACTTAATTGTTTACTTTCCCTCCATAGTTAGTTATTAAAGTAATGAAGGCAAGGAAAATGCTCTAAGAGAAAAAATTGTTTTGATATAGGCACTTCAAGTTTTAAAAACTTGACACACACACACACACACACTCCTTTTCCAAGCTTTGTTTTTCTTCTGCACAGAAGAATGTTAAAAGCCTTCAGATTAAAATTCAGCTAGACAGATGTAGAATATTATATAACCCTAAAAAAGATGGCAAGTGTGTTTGAGAAAGGAGGGAGAGTAGGAAAAGACTATAAATTTTTAAGATTTTGTTTTGTGGCTTTTGTGGCACTGCTCCACTGAACAACATCAGGCTCTTCCTAAGTTGCCCAGGTTGGTCTTTAACTTGTTATTTTCCTGCCTCAGGCATTATAGGTCTGTATCATTGCACCTATATCAGTTTAGGTTTTAATTCATAAGGACTTAAATGTTCTACCTGGATTCTCCCTAGAGATTCAGTGATGGGAATCTACAGGTTATAAATTGGACTCTTTTCATAACTCTTTGTCCTTGCTATTGGCATTGAATCCAGTCTGCTTTCTTTGATTTTGGTCAACACGGAGGAAATTTGGTATAGAATTTGAGGGTTATTCCATTCTGCTCTGAACCTGGTCCTTATTGAATCCAGTTGCAGGGTTGAAATTGCCTTGTCTCATACCTCTCTTTCTCTTTGTACCTGGGATTGAAACTCAGAGGCACTTAACCACTGAGCCACATCTCCAGCCATTTTACATATATTTAATTTTATATATATTTTACATATATATATTTTACATTTTACATATATATTTAATATATTATTTTACATATATATATTTGCATTTTACACATATATATAAGACAGGGTCTTGCTAACTGGTTTAGGGCCTCTCTAAGTTTCTGAGTGAAGCTAAATGAAATTGTTATTTACATGTATACCTACATTCATTCAATTGTACTTCAAAATTTAAAGCTTTAAGTAGTGATATCTATTTTTTTGTAATCTTCCTCTTGCTGAAGTTGTTTCCTTCCTAATGCTTTATGGCCAGCGTGGCATCAAATATCAAATATGAGAGGCAGGGTTGGGTGGTAATCATTGTGTGAGCATCTTGGGGAGAAGACCTTGGCAGTCAGGGTACATTTTCTAGTTATTTGGTTATAAAATATCTTTGAAAGAACTGGGTGAACAAATATAAAGAAATGTCAGTGAATTTTAAACCAGGAAAGTGTCTACAGAGACTGATCTATTAAAAAAAAAAAAAAAAGAAAGAAAAAAAAAAAGAAACAACATGATCTTGCTGCTGGTTCTGCACCAGCAGCCCTGCTCTCGACTATTTCCTTCCTTGATGATGCTGATAAAGAGGAAGGGCTAGCCATATGGGGAGTGGGGGGCATAATGCCTGTATCACTAGCAAAGGACAGGATACTTGCATATAGTATAACTACATGTCATTTGGAAACATGTTTTAAAAAGAATCAAATCATAAATAAATGAGTCACATTTGTACATGCTCTCAGTTGGCATGACATAGTGATTTTCAAAATATTTAGGACCATTACCAAGCCTCTATTAAATGTTTCAGAAGGGATCTGTTCTGAATAACATTATTAATATTTACTAAATATATTTTGAGCCCATACTAAATGCTGGTGGTATACTGGAAAAATTTAAGACCAATGTGTTTCCTGCTCTTCAGGAGATTAAATACTACTGAGGAAAGGCAAGTAGAAAATTTAAAGACAAATAAATTCCAAATTGCAGTGAATGCTTTGAAGGAAAGAATAACAAAAAGCGGGAGATGGGAAAAACATCCTTTAAGGAAATGTGTTTGGTATCTGTGAGAACTATTCCCTTAATTTGTAAATTTTAATATATATACAAGTACAGATTTAAAAAGACTAAATTAGATACAGTTGAGATACCTTGTTTATTTTAAATTCCCTTAAGCTACAAGATATAGGAGTTCACAGAGTTGCTACAGATTTTTGTTGTCTACAGTTATCTCTAACATTGTTTCAGTTAGTAAAAGAAACCATTGGTAAATGATGCTTTTAAAAAAACTGCTAATTGTACAACACTATTACTTGTAGCAACATGTTGCAAATTGAATCCATTGATTAAATACTAAACCATCTTTGGGAGAGGAGAAAAAGTGGCATTTTGATAGAGTGTTACAGACATTTGGATGTATTGGGTCAGTAGAGTAGGTAGGGGGATTTTATTTTATTTTTGTACCTGAGATTGACCCAGTAAGCCCATCCACAGCCCTTTTTTAATATTTTATTTAGAGTCGTGGGGTCTCGCTGATTTGCTTAGGGCCTCAATAAGTTGTTGAGGCTGCTTTCAACTCTAAATCCTCCCATTAGTCTCCCGACTGCTGGGATTCCAGGTCTGCCACCATGCCTGGGGAATTTGGGGTGGGTGGGTGCTGAGAGTATACCAGCTTAAAAAACAATGAACAAGCAAATATGTAAATTGGAAGAAAATAATTTCAGAATACAAAGGGGTTCATGTAAATTTAATATTTTTTTCCTAATTAAACAAATGCCTTTAATTTGCACATTATGTCATAAACTGGCAAAAACTGTAAAAGACGTGTGTTCATACAGCAGTGTTTATTCACACCATCAAAGGCACACATGGGGATGCTGGTTTGCATACCCAGGAACTGTTGTGTAGCATTTTGTCTATTTCGGGACTGGGTTCTCACTAAACCAGTTCACATACAGTTATTATGAAAGCATGGATATATCCAATGTTTTGAGACCCATGTCCAAAACAGACCATGGCTGCGTGGTACATGCCTGTTATCCAACAACTCTGGAGGCTGAGGCAAGAGGAAGTTTAAGGCCAGCCCTAGCAACCCTCAGGAAGATCTTCAGCAATTTAGTGAGATCTCATCTCAAAAGAAAATGGACTGAGGATATAACTCAGCAGTAAACTGCCCCAGGTTCAATCCCCAGAGAAAACAAATAAATAAAAGACTCATATCAATTCTGTGTTTTTTGTTTTTTTTTTTTCCCCCTTTTACTCTTTTTCTGTTCCCCCTGCTGCACCACCCGCATTCCCCACTCTCAATATTAAACTCTGGGGTTAGGTTAAATATCAGTCTAAGCAAGTGCTTGGCCACTAAGCTACATCCTTAACCCTCATTCTGTGATTTCTAGGAATGGTCCCAGAGACTCTTGAGTGAATAAAAGCCAAGTGAGGTTGGACAGACTGGAGGAAAATTTCATTCAGGCTACAAACAGAAAAAACATATCAAATTTGTCCTAGTCTATGAAAGAACATATGCCTTATGTCTTAAATATTTATGCTCATACTGTGTTTGTTTTGATGGTGTTGGATTCATCTTCTTTTTGAGGTGTA